ATTAGTAATATTATTTATATATCATCATCAATATTAATTATATATAAACTGAAATTAGACATTACATTAATTACATATAAATTATAATATTAAAATATATTAGACATTCCATTATATTTTAAATGGGTTTTTGAACATATATATATATAATATAATTCCTAGACTGATGTGTTATGATGGTTGGTATGGTTAAGTGTAATTGTGCGTTCACACTGGATCCAGATGAGGAAGTGAAGCGAAGCTGCAGATACTCACCTGATGAAGTCTCCGTTGGGGTCGATCCTGCGTCCGAATCCCACGGGACACGGGACAGTAGCAGTGGAAGAACTGCTGGAAGAAGGAGCTGCAGGAGTGACGGAGCCAGCTGCCGGCGTTCACGCTCCAGTCAGCGTCCAGCAGCAGCTCCTCGAACACCTGTGGCGCCGCGTGCATTTTGACCAGCGCCTCGGGGTTCCTGTCCAAGAGGAATGTTTGCCTATGGTTTTAACAAAAAATGCCACATCAAAAACCACTAGACTAATATAAATGTCACACATTAAATTGTTAAAGATAAGTGAACAGTCAGTAAAAATATAGGAACAAACAAACCAATTAGCAACAGCATAAATAAATACAACGAAACAAATTACAGGCACAGAAATTGAAATCAAAATTTTAAAAACACTGCATAGTTTTCTTTTCATAAATAAAATATTGATTAAACCTCATTAAAGTTACAAAAACATTCAAATGCATGAATGGTTTTCTTTTCTTCTTTGATTAACATTAATGACAGGCAGCACATTTATCCGGATGCTGTCTCTTTAACACAGAACCCACGCGGCTCTAAAACAATGTTACGTGTGCGTTTTCGTTCTCATTTGTTTACGTTATGACTGATTTTGTGCTCCAGGGTCACATACGAGCGCGACACGCAGAATGGCATGCAAGTCTTGCACTTAGATGGTTTAAAATCACATTAAAATGTGAACGCAGGAATCGTTAAGTGGAATCAATCTTCACAAATACCCGGTTCTTGGAAATTAGCAACCGATTCTAAGATACAACCAGCTCTTTATACCCACCCGCTCACCCCTACCCATGATGCAGCTCTCTAATCACAGCGATCTATCTGTGTGCGTGTGTTACCCAGCTCGTCCAGCAGGGGGACTCCGTATCTCTCTCTGTGGTTATCTCTGACGGGCGTCACACAGTTTCCCAGCAGCTCTCGGCTCAGCAGCTCCAGCGGAGGCTCCGGTGGCTCCAGCGGCTCCATGCTGCTCGCCAGCGTCTGGAAGCTCTTGTACGTCTGCGGCGGCTGACCGCCATTCAGCTCCGTGATCCTGACACACCACACATAACACAGATTCAGTTCTCAATCACTGACGCCAACCGTGGAATACCTTCCATATCAGTCGATACCGATAATTATCACGATATTTTTATTTTTCATATCAGTCGATACAGATAATTATCACGATATTTTTATTTTTCATATCAGTCGATACCGATAATTATCACAATATATTTTTTCCATACCAGTCGATACCGATAATTGTCACGATAAATGTCACATTTTTATTTCTTTCAAGTTTAAAGGCAGATTTTTGCTCCAATTTGAAAGTTGTAAAATCCAGACGGTTAATTGTGGTTTTAAACTATTCTTTACGATCAGAACATGACAAACACTTCACGTTTTTTAATTCTTTACACTTTTACAGTAATTTTTCTTTAACAAAATAAATATCTTAATAGAAAAAAGTAATTTCTTAGTTCTGCAGGTTCTAATGAGTAATATTGTAATTGTCATTGATTCACTCGATTCGTTCAAACGGCTGATTCATTCAGGAATGAAGTAAACGGCTCTCTTTATGAATGAGTCTTTGAGTCATTGATTCACTCGATTCGTTCAAACGGCTGGGGAGCGTTTTAATGTTTCCATTTTTTGCTGATTTTCCGTTCATATTTTAATATCTCTTCTAGCCAGTGCTCGGGTTTGCGCTGATATCGCAGCAGAGATGAATCTGGAGTTGCTCGGTGAGTAGAGCTGTCTGAGAGTGTGTTAGCTCCGCGCTAGCCGCTGCTAGCCGTCTGTAGTGTTTATAAACACTCAACTTTTACAGAACGTGTTATTCTTTAAAGTCGAATAATTGTAGGGAACGTTTTCTGTCAGTGCTCATTCAGTGATGTAGGTTATTATATGTATGATAAACATGACATGAACTGTCAGGTTAATAAATATTCATTGTTATATGATTATATTAATGCAGATTGTTGTGATTAAAAATAAACTATCAAATATCAGAACTGTTTTCTGTCTTTCAGAGTCGTTCTTCAGGAGGCTGATGGCACTCTGGACTGCATCAGTATGGCTCTGACCTGCACATTTAACCGCTGGGGGACACTGCTTGCTGTCGGCTGCAACGACGGACGCATCGTCATCTGGGACTTTCTGACGCGAGGAATCGCCAAAATCATCAGCGCACACATACACCCCGTCTGCTCGCTCAGGTACACACACACACAAACACACACACACACACAAACTCCCTCTCACACACACACACACACTCTCTCACTCACACACTCTCTCTCTCTCTCTCTCACTCACACACTCTCTCTCTCTCTCTCTCACTCACACACTCTCTCTCTCTCTCTCTCACTCACACACTCTCTCTCTCTCTCTCTCACTCACACACTCTCTCTCTCTCTCTCTCACTCACACACTCTCTCTCTCTCTCTCTCACTCACACACTCTCTCTCTCTCTCTCTCACTCACACACTCTCTCTCTCTCTCTCTCACTCACACACTCTCTCTCTCTCTCTCTCACTCACACACTCTCTCTCTCTCTCTCTCACTCACACACTCTCTCTCTCTCTCTCTCACTCACACACTCTCTCTCTCTCTCTCTCACTCACACACTCTCTCTCTCTCTCTCTCACTCACACACTCTCTCTCTCTCTCTCTCACTCACACACTCTCTCTCTCTCTCTCTCACTCACACACTCTCTCTCTCTCTCTCTCACTCACACACTCTCTCTCTCTCTCTCTCACTCACACACTCTCTCTCTCTCTCTCTCACTCACACACTCTCTCTCTCTCTCTCTCACTCACACACTCTCTCTCTCTCTCTCTCACTCACACACTCACTCACTCACAAACTCACTCACTCTCACTCACTCACTCACTCACACACTCATTCTCATTCACTCACTCACTCACACTCACTCTCTCACTCACTCTCTCACTCACACACTCAATCTCACTCACTCACACTCTCACACACTCACTCACACACAAACTCACTCACACACTCACACTCACTCACTCACACACACACACACACACTCACTGAGTGTCTGCTGTGGTTCAGCTGGAGCAGAGACGGACACAAGCTGGTCAGTGCCTCCACGGATAACATCGTGTCTCAGTGGGACGTCCTGACGGGAGACTGCGACCAGCGCTTCCGCTTCCCCTCGCCCATCCTCAAGCTGCAGTACCACCCCCGAGACATGTGAGTGTCCTCACTTCCTGTGCCGCGCGGATGACTTCCTGTGCGTGAGCCGGACTCTGTAGCCGTTTCTCAATATGCCTTCTTGTGTTCTTGTGAAACGTCCTCAGTTGTTACTCAAGTACTGTTCCAGTTCAAAGTTCACATCTAGCCAAGTACAGTTCAAATCCCCGGATGTGTTCTTGCTCCACCCCTTTTATCGAGGATGCATCCAGAGGTGACTTGAAATTAAAACCGCCAGGGTTGTGTTTTATATTTTGTTTTGTTAACCCTCATCCGTCCCTGTGGTCGTTTTGACCCAAAACTCATTTTTAAAGATTTTTTAAAAATTGAGCATTGGTCGTTATGGTATGAGACTTTGTTACATTTGTCACACTTGAACCGGGAATACATGAAAATAAATTAGAGTGAATTTGAGCAGTTTAAGTGTGTGCTATAAAAAAAGTATCAAAAGTGTCCCTCGCGGGTCATTTTGACCCGCCACTGGAAAAGCATGGAATTTACGAAAAAACTGCAGAATTTTTTTTTTTTAATTTAATTTTGTCACACTTGAGCATGGAGCACACACAAAATAATTCGATTCTATGTGGGTGTAATAAAAAAAGTGTTATCCCCCAAAAGTATTTCGTTCATTTTGACCCAGCCATAGGAATGAATGGAATGTCCGAAAAAAAACAGCATTTTTTCATTTATTCAATTTTTTTGACTATACAAAATCTGACACAATCCAGAAAATATGCATACCCAAACAAAGGGCTGAGACTGCAGAATGTCCTCAATGCACAAAAAACTCACATACCCACACACACACACTCCCATTGAAACGCATTATAGCATGTATGATGTTTCTGTTGGGAAATGACATTTTGAAAAAAATGTTTTATTTAACAGTTAAATTTGAGTGATGGGGTGGAGACCAATGAGTTTATATCATATTTATATTTTTAAATGTATCTTTTATATTTATTACATATTTATGAAAGTGTATGATATGCATGTATTTGGATTAAAATTCAGTATCAATTTCATTTTTTGTTTTTACAAAATATATCTGAAAAGCCTTGAGGTATATCTGAAAGCATAATTAAGCCACTAGTTGGTGTAGTTTTAAAGATTTCACTTGTTTGGCTCTTTTAAGAATCTCCATAGGGTTCTATAGGGCCCTCTAGTGGCTGTAATCATAAAATGCAATTTTATGTCATTTTTCCCCACCAAATAACATCAGAGACTCCGTGACCTACGTCCTGATGGATCAGCATGTTTAAAGTATAAATATGCAGAAATTCTGTCTTTCTTTCTTAGTTTTATTTTTGGTGAAAATAATGTATAAAATATGCAAATTTTCATAAAAATATCCAGAATTTAATGTGAATAAAATAAAATTCACTACAAAATAATAAAAGAATAAAACCTACATAAAACATTAGGGAAAAAATTCTAAAAATGGACCAATATAAACTTTCTGGGCCAAAAATAAAATTAGTGTCATTTTTGGCCTTCGGGTCATTTTGACCCGCGAGGGACACTTTCGTTATAGGTTCGGGACGGATGAGGGCTTCAAGTATACATGCGGTGAAGCAAACGAAACGAGGCAGTGGTTTTTGTTATTTAGTTTTTTTGTAATGTGTGTGCGTTCCCTGAACTATATTTTTGCGGCGAGCTGACTGACGTTATCAAGTACGCTGATGTTCCATCGTTTGCAGAATTACTCGCTCCCGAGACAAACGTGCTCAGTCTGAACTCTGTGTTCTTGGCATTAAGAAAGGGCCTGTGTTTCAGGGACAAGGTGCTGGTGTGTCCCATGAAGTCTGCGCCCGTCCTGCTCACGCTGTCCGACTCCAAACACGTGGTGCTGCCGGTGGACGACGACTCCGACCTCAACGTGGTGGCAGCTTTCGACCGGCGCGGAGACTACATCTACACCGGCAATGCCAAGGGGAAGGTCAGAGGTCACGAGTGTGTGTGTGAGTGAGTGAGTGAGTGAGTGTGTGTGTGTGTGAGCGTGTGAGCGAGTGAGCGTGTGCGCGTGCGTGTGTGAGTGAGCGTGTGTGTTTGTGTGAGCGAGTGTGAGCGTGTGAGCGTGTGAGCGAGTGAGCGTGTGCGCGTGTGCGCGAGCGAGTGTGAGCATGAGCGTGTGCGTGTGTGAGTGAGCGTGTGTGTGAGCATTTGTGTGAGCGAGCGTGTGTGCGAGTGTGTGCGTGAGCGAGTGACACAAAAAACTCACATACCCACACACACACACTCCCATTGAAACGCATTATAGCATGTATGATGTTTCTGTTGGGAAATGACATTTTGAAAAAAATGTTTTATTTAACAGTTAAATTTGAGTGATGGGGTGGAGACCAATGAGTTTATATCATATTTATATTTTTAAATGTATCTTTTATATTTATTACATATTTATGAAAGTGTATGATATGCATGTATTTGGATTAAAATTCAGTATCAATTTCATTTTTTGTTTTTACAAAATATATCTGAAAAGCCTTGAGGTATATCTGAAAGCATAATTAAGCCACTAGTTGGTGTAGTTTTAAAGATTTCACTTGTTTGGCTCTTTTAAGAATCTCCATAGGGTTCTATAGGGCCCTCTAGTGGCTGTAATCATAAAATGCAATTTTATGTCATTTTTCCCCACCAAATAACATCAGAGACTCCGTGACCTACGTCCTGATGGATCAGCATGTTTAAAGTATAAATATGCAGAAATTCTGTCTTTCTTTCTTAGTTTTATTTTTGGTGAAAATAATGTATAAAATATGCAAATTTTCATAAAAATATCCAGAATTTAATGTGAATAAAATAAAATTCACTACAAAATAATAAAAGAATAAAACCTACATAAAACATTAGGGAAAAAATTCTAAAAATGGACCAATATAAACTTTCTGGGCCAAAAATAAAATTAGTGTCATTTTTGGCCTTCGGGTCATTTTGACCCGCGAGGGACACTTTCGTTATAGGTTCGGGACGGATGAGGGCTTCAAGTATACATGCGGTGAAGCAAACGAAACGAGGCAGTGGTTTTTGTTATTTAGTTTTTTTGTAATGTGTGTGCGTTCCCTGAACTATATTTTTGCGGCGAGCTGACTGACGTTATCAAGTACGCTGATGTTCCATCGTTTGCAGAATTACTCGCTCCCGAGACAAACGTGCTCAGTCTGAACTCTGTGTTCTTGGCATTAAGAAAGGGCCTGTGTTTCAGGGACAAGGTGCTGGTGTGTCCCATGAAGTCTGCGCCCGTCCTGCTCACGCTGTCCGACTCCAAACACGTGGTGCTGCCGGTGGACGACGACTCCGACCTCAACGTGGTGGCAGCTTTCGACCGGCGCGGAGACTACATCTACACCGGCAATGCCAAGGGGAAGGTCAGAGGTCACGAGTGTGTGTGTGAGTGAGTGAGTGAGTGAGTGTGTGTGTGTGTGAGCGTGTGAGCGAGTGAGCGTGTGCGCGTGCGTGTGTGAGTGAGCGTGTGTGTTTGTGTGAGCGAGTGTGAGCGTGTGAGCGTGTGAGCGAGTGAGCGTGTGCGCGTGTGCGCGAGCGAGTGTGAGCATGAGCGTGTGCGTGTGTGAGTGAGCGTGTGTGTACCCAGCCATAGGAATGAATGGAATGTCCGAAAAAAACAGCATTTTTTCATTTATTCAATTTTTTTGACTATACAAAATCTGACACAATCCAGAAAATATGCATACCCAAACAAAGGGCTGAGACTGCAGAATGTCCTCAATGCACAAAAAACTCACATACCCACACACACACACTCCCATTGAAACGCATTATAGCATGTATGATGTTTCTGTTGGGAAATGACATTTTGAAAAAAATGTTTTATTTAACAGTTAAATTTGAGTGATGGGGTGGAGACCAATGAGTTTATATCATATTTATATTTTTAAATGTATCTTTTATATTTATTACATATTTATGAAAGTGTATGATATGCATGTATTTGGATTAAAATTCAGTATCAATTTCATTTTTTGTTTTTACAAAATATATCTGAAAAGCCTTGAGGTATATCTGAAAGCATAATTAAGCCACTAGTTGGTGTAGTTTTAAAGATTTCACTTGTTTGGCTCTTTTAAGAATCTCCATAGGGTTCTATAGGGCCCTCTAGTGGCTGTAATCATAAAATGCAATTTTATGTCATTTTTCCCCACCAAATAACATCAGAGACTCCGTGACCTACGTCCTGATGGATCAGCATGTTTAAAGTATAAATATGCAGAAATTCTGTCTTTCTTTCTTAGTTTTATTTTTGGTGAAAATAATGTATAAAATATGCAAATTTTCATAAAAATATCCAGAATTTAATGTGAATAAAATAAAATTCACTACAAAATAATAAAAGAATAAAACCTACATAAAACATTAGGGAAAAAATTCTAAAAATGGACCAATATAAACTTTCTGGGCCAAAAATAAAATTAGTGTCATTTTTGGCCTTCGGGTCATTTTGACCCGCGAGGGACACTTTCGTTATAGGTTCGGGACGGATGAGGGCTTCAAGTATACATGCGGTGAAGCAAACGAAACGAGGCAGTGGTTTTTGTTATTTAGTTTTTTTGTAATGTGTGTGCGTTCCCTGAACTATATTTTTGCGGCGAGCTGACTGACGTTATCAAGTACGCTGATGTTCCATCGTTTGCAGAATTACTCGCTCCCGAGACAAACGTGCTCAGTCTGAACTCTGTGTTCTTGGCATTAAGAAAGGGCCTGTGTTTCAGGGACAAGGTGCTGGTGTGTCCCATGAAGTCTGCGCCCGTCCTGCTCACGCTGTCCGACTCCAAACACGTGGTGCTGCCGGTGGACGACGACTCCGACCTCAACGTGGTGGCAGCTTTCGACCGGCGCGGAGACTACATCTACACCGGCAATGCCAAGGGGAAGGTCAGAGGTCACGAGTGTGTGTGTGAGTGAGTGAGTGAGTGAGTGTGTGTGTGTGTGAGCGTGTGAGCGAGTGAGCGTGTGCGCGTGCGTGTGTGAGTGAGCGTGTGTGTTTGTGTGAGCGAGTGTGAGCGTGTGAGCGTGTGAGCGAGTGAGCGTGTGCGCGTGTGCGCGAGCGAGTGTGAGCATGAGCGTGTGCGTGTGTGAGTGAGCGTGTGTGTGAGCATTTGTGTGAGCGAGCGTGTGTGCGAGTGTGTGCGTGAGCGAGTGAGCGTGTGTGAGCGTGAGTGAGTGTGAGAGTGTGTGAGCGAG